TTCTGTTGACACCAGCACACCTGTGACCACTTCTACCCAAGTCAGTTCATCTCCTACAACTCTTGAAGGTACCAGCATGGCAACCTCGACTCCTAGTGAAGGAAGCACTCCATTAACAACTCTTCCTGGTAGCACCACACGTGTGACCAGTTCTGAGGGCAGCACCCTTTCAACAGCTTCTGTTGACACCAGCATACCTGTGACCACTTCTACCCAAGTCAGTTCATCTCCTACAATTCCTGAGGTCACCACCATGCCAAGCTCTACTCCTAGTGAAGGAAGCACTCCATTAACAGCTATTCCTCTCAGCACCACACGTGTGACCAGTTCTGAGGGCAGCACTCTTTCAACACCATCTGTTGACACCAGCACACCTGTGACAACTTCTACCAGAGTCAGTTCATCTCCTACAACTCCTGAAGTCACCACCATGCCAATCTCAACTCCTAATGTACGAAGCACTCCATTAACAACTATTCCTGTCAGCACCACACGTGTGACCACTTCTGAGGGCAGCACCCTTTCAACACCTTCTGTTGACACTAGCACTCCTGAGACCACTTCTATCCAAGTCAGTTCATCTACTACAACTCCTGAAGCTACCAGTATTCCAACCTCGACTCCTAGTGAAGGAAGCACTCCATTAACAACTATTCCTGTCAGTACCACACGTGTGACCAGTTCTGAGGGCAGCACCCTTTCAACACTTTCTGTGCACACCAGCACACCTGTGACCACTTCTACCCATGTCAGTTCATCTCCTACAACTCCTGAAGTCACCACCATGCCAGTCTCTACTCCTAGTGAAGGAAGCACGCCATTAACAACTATTCCTGTCAACACCACTCGTGTGACCAGTTCTGAGGGCAGCACCCTTTCAACACTTTCTGCTGACACCAGCACACCTGTGACCACTTCTATCCAAGTCAGTTCCTCTGCTACAACTCCTGAAGGTACCAGTATTCCAACCTGGACTCCTAGAGAAGGAAGCACTCCATTCAGAACTATTCCTATGAGTACCACACGTGTGACCAGTCCTGAGGGCAGCACCCATTCAACACTTTCTGTACACACCCGCACACCTGTGACCACTTCTACCCATGTCATTTCATCTCCTACAACTCCTGAAGTCACCACCATTCCCATCTCTACTCCTAGTGAAGCAAGCACTCCATTAACAACTAGTCCACTCAGCACCACACGTGTGACCATTTCTGAGGGCAGCACCCAATCAACACCTTCTATGGACGCCAGCACACCTGTGACCACTTCTACCACGGTCAGTTCATCTCCTACCACTGCTGAAGTCACCACCATGCCAATCTCAACTCCAAGTGTTCGAAGCACTCCATCAGCAACTATTCCTGTCAGCACCACACGTGTGACCAATTCTGAATTCAGCACACTTTCAACAGCTTTTGTTGACACCAGCACACCTGTGACCACTTCTACCCAAGTCAGTTCATCTCCTACAACTCCTGAAGGTACCAGTATGGCAACCTCGACTCCTAGTGAAGGAAGCACTCCATTAACAACTATTCCTGTTATCACCACACTTGTGACCAGTTCTGCGGGCAGCATGCTTTCAACACCTTCGGTTGACAACAGCACACCTGTGACCACTTCTACCCAGGTCAGTTCATCTCCTACAACTCCTGAAGTCACCACCATGCCAATCTCTACTACTAATGATGGAAGCACTCCATTAACAACTATTCCTGTCAGCACCACACATGTGACCAGTTCTCAGGGCAGCACCCTTTCAAAACCTTCTGTAGACACCAGCACACCTGTGACCACCTCTATCCAAGTCAGTTCATCTGCTACAACTCCTGAAGCTACCAGTATTCCAACCTCGATTCCTAGTGAAGGAGGCACTCTATTAACAACTCTGCCTGTAAGCCCCACACGTGTGACCAGTTCTGAGGGCAGCACCCTTTCAACACTTTCTGTAGACACCACCACATCTGTGAGCACTTCTATCCAAGTCAGTTCATCTCCTACAACTCCTGAAGTCACCACCATGCCAATCTCTACTCCTAGCGAAGGAAGCACTCCATTAACCACTAGTCCTGTCAGTACCATCCGTGTGACCAGTTCTCAGGATAGCACCCTTTCAACACGGTCTGTTGACACCAGCACACCTGTGACCACTTCTACCCAAGTCAGTTCATCTCCTACAACTTCTGAAGGTACCAGCATGCCAATCTCGACTCCTAGTGAAGAAAGCACTCCATTAACAACTATTCCTGTCAGCACCACACGCGTGACCACTTCTGAGGGCAGCAACGCCTTATCAACTCCTTCTGTGGACACCAGCACACCTGTTGACCACTCTACCCAAGTCATCATCTCCTACAACTCTGTAAGAGTACAAAGTATCCAATCTCGACTCCTTAGTGAAGGAAGCACTACCATTAACAACTTTTGCCTGTCAGCACACATCGGTGAACCCTTTTCTTGATTCCTAGCAACAGCCTTCAAGCACCTCCTGTCTGGACACCAGCACACCTGTGGACCACTTCTACCCACATCAGTTCATCTCCTACAACTCCTGAAGGTACCAGTATCTCCAACCTCGATCTAGTAAGGAAGCACTCCATTAACACTATTCCTGTCAGCTACCACAGATGTGACCAGTTCTAGGGCAGCACACCTTTCAACACTTTCTGTGCACACCAGCACACCTGTGACCACTTCTACCCATGTCAGTTCATCTCCTACCACTCCTGAAGTCACCACCATACCAATCTCAACTCCTAGTGTTCGAAGCACTCCATTAACAACTATTCCTGTCAGCACGACACGTGTGACCAGTTCTCAGGGCAGCACCCTTTCAACGCCTTTGGTTCACACCAGCACACCTGTGACCACTTCTATCGAAATCAGTTCATCTCCTACACCTTCTGAAGGTAGCAGTATGGCAACCTCGACACCTAGTGAAGGAAGCACTCCATTAACAACTATTCCTGTCAGCACCACACGTGTGACCATTTCTGCGGGCAGCATGCTTTCAACACCTTCTGTAGGCACCAGCACACCTGTGACCACTTCTACCCAAGTCAGTTCATCTCCTTCAACTCCTGAAAGTACTAGTATGGCAACCTCAACTCCTGGTGAAGGAAGCACTCCATTAACAACTATTCCTGTCAGTACCACACGTGTGACCAGTTCTGAGGGCAGCACCCATTCAACACCTTCTGTAGGCACCAGCACACCTGTGACCACTTCTAGCCATGTCAGTTCATCTCCTACAAATCCTGAAGTCATCACCATGCCAATCTCTCCTCCTAGTGAAGGAAGCACTCCATTAACAACTATTGCTCCCAGCACCACACGTGTGACCAGTTCTGAGGGCAGCACCCTTTCAACACCTTCTGTTGACACCAGCACACCTGTGACCACTTCTACCCAAGTCAGTTCTTCTCCTACTACTCCGGAAGGTACCAGTATGGCAACCTCGACTCCTAGTGAAGGAAGCACTCCATTAAGAACTTTTCCTGTCATCACCACATCTGTGACCAGTTCTGCGGGCAGCATTCTTTCAACACCTTCAGTTGACACCAACACATCTGTGGCCACTTCTACCCAAGTCAGTTCATCTCCTACAACTCCTGAAGTCACCACCATGCCAATCTCGACTCCTAGTGAAGGAAGCACTCCATTAGCAACTATTCCTGTCAGCACCACACATGTGGCCAGTTCTGAGGGCAGAACCCTTTCAACACCTTCTGTTGACACCAGCACACCTGTCACCACTTCTATCCAAGTCAGTTCATCTCCTACAACTCCTGAAGGTACCAGTATTCCAACCTCGATTCCTAGTGAAGGAAGCACTCCATTAGCAACTATTCCTGTGAGCACCACACGTGTGACCAGTTCTGAGGGCAGCACCCTTTCAACGCCTTCTGTTGACAACAGCACACCTGTGACCACTTCTACCAGAGTCAGTTCATCTCCTACCACTCCTGAAGTCACCACCTTGCCAATGTCAACTCCTGGTGTTCGAAGCACTCCATTAACAACTATTCCTCTCAGCACCACAGCAGTGACCAATTCTGACGGCAGCACCCTTTCAACACTTTCTGTTGACACCAGCACACCTGTGACCACTTCTATCCTAGTCAGTTCTTCTCCTACAACTCCTGAAGGTAGCAGTATGGCAACCTCGACTCCTAGTGAAGGAAGCACTCCCTTAACAACTATTCCTGTCAGCACCACACCTGTGGCCAGTTCTGCAGGCAGCATGCTTTCGACACCTTCGGTTGACACCAGCACATCTGTGACCACTTCTACCCAAGTCAGTTCATCTCCTACAACTCTTGAAGTCACCACCATGCCAATCTCTACTCCTAGTGAAGGAAGCACTCCATTAGCAACTATTCCTGTCAGCACCACAGCAGTGACCAGTTCTGAGGGCAGCACCCTTTCAACACCTTCTGTTGACACCAGCACACCTGTGACCACTTCTATCCAAGTCAGTTCATCTGCTATAACTCCTGAAGTTACCAGTATTCCAACCTCGATTCCTAGTGAACGAAGCACTCCATTAACAACTATTCCTGTGAGCACCACACGTGTGACGAGTCCTGTGGGCAGCACCCTTTCAACACTTTCTGTTGACACCACCACACCTGTGACCACTTCTATCCTAGTCAGTTCCTCTCTTACAACTTCTGAAGGTAGCAGTATGCCAATCTCGACTCCTAGTGAAGGAAGCACTCCATTAACAACTAGTCCTGTCAGCACCACACGTGTGACCACTTGTGAGGACAGCACCCTTTCAACACCTTCTGTTGACACCAGCACTCCTGTGACCACTTCTACCCAAGTCAGTTCATCTCTTACAACTCCGGAAGGTACCACTATGCCAATCTCGACTCCTAGTGAAGGAAGCACTCCATTAACAATTTTGCCTGTCAGCACCAGATCGGTGACCATTTCTGATCCTAGCACACCTTCAACACCTCCTGTTGACACCAACACACCTGTGACCACTTCTATCCACGTCAGTTCATCTCCTACAGCTCCTGAATTCACCACCATGCCAATCTCTACTCCTAGTGAAGGAAACACTCCATTAACAACTATTCCTGTCAGCACCACTAGTGTGACCAGTTCTGAGGGTAGCACCCTTTCAACACCTTCTGTTGACACCAGCACACCTGTGACCACTTCTACCCAAATCAGTTCATCTCCTACAACTCCTGAAAGTACCAGTATGCCAATCTCGACTCCTAGTGAAGGAAGCACTCCATTAACAACTATTCCTGTCAGCAGCACACATGTGACCAGTTCTGAGGGTAGCACCCTTTCAACACTTTCTGTTGACACCAGCACACCTGTGACCACTTCTACTGAGGCCATTTCATCTTCTGCAACTCTTGACAGTACCACCATGTCCTTGTCAATACCCACGGAAATCAGCACTCTTGGGACCACTATTCTTATCAGTTCCACCCCTGTAATGAGGTTTCCTGAGAGTAGCACCCCTTCCATACCATCTGTTGACACCAGCATGTCCGTGACCACTACCTCTGAAGGAAGTTCATCTCCTACAACTCTTGAAGGTACCACCATGCCTGTGTCAACTACGAGTGAAAGAAGCACTTTACTGACAACTCTCCTCAGTCCTATATCTGTGACGAGTCCTTCTGAGGCCAGCACACTTTCAACACCTCCTGGTGATACCAGCACACCTTTGCTCACCTCTACCGAAGCCAGTTCATCCTCCATACCTGCCGAAGGCACTACTATACATATTTCAACTACCAGTGAAAGAAGCACTCCATTAACAACTCCTCGTGTTAGCACCACACCTCCAACTAGCTTTACTGAGGCCAGCACACCTTCAACACCTCCTCTTGACACAAGCACAACTTTTACCCCTTCTACTGAAGCTGCCTCAATTCCCACCATTCCTGTAGCCACCACCAGATCTGTATCAATGACCACAGAAGGAAGCACACCTGGGACAACCATTTTTATTCCCACCACTCCTGTCACCAGTTCTACCTCTGATGGCATTCCTGCAACAACTGGTGCTGTATCTACCCCTGTGATAACTTCCACAGAATTAAACACACCATCAACCTCTGCTAGTAGTACCACCACATCTTTTTCAACTACTAAGGAATTTACAACAACTACAATGACTACTGCAGCTCCTCTCACATATATGACCATGTCTACTGCCCCCAGCACAACCAGCAGAGGCTCCACTACTTCTGCATCAACGCTTTCTGCAGCCAGTACACCTCACACCTCTACTTCTGTCACCACCCATCCTGTGACCCCTTCATCAGAATCCAGCAGGCCGTCAACAATCACTTCTCACACCATCCCACCTATATTTCCTCCTGCTCACTCCAGTACACCTCCAACAACCTCTGCCTCCTCCACGGCTGTGATCCCTGAGACTGTCACTACCATGACCACTGGGCCAAAACCCAGCACAAGGACCGCTTCCTCCCCCACGGTGACCACCACCACTGTCCCCACGACTACTTCTACAATTAAGAGCACCCCCACCTCAACTACTGTGCCAACAACCACAACATGTAAGTGATTTCTTGAATTTTCCCTTTTTTTTGATTATTACGTTAAGTTCTAGGGTACATGTGCAGGCAACGTGCAGGTTTTGTCGGGTACAGGTATGTGAAGCATTGGGTTGCCATGTGTGGGTTTGCTGCAGCCGATTAACTCGAATCATTTGAGCATCGCTTAGGTGAGTTTCTCCTAATGTTGAGTCCCTCCCTCATCCCGTGCCGCAGCCCACGACTGCAGACCGCTGGTGTAGGGATGTTCCCACCCGCGGTGTCCAAGAGGATCTCATTGTTCAATTGCCACTATGAAGTCGAGAACCATGCGCGGTGTTGGTTTGGTCGTGTCCTTGCGATAGTTTGCTCAGAAGGTTTCCACCTTCATCCATGTCTCTACAAAGGACTTGAACTCATCGTTTTTTATGACTGCATAGTATTCCATGGAGTGAACAGGCAACCTACAGAATGGCAGAAAATTTTTGCAATCTACTCATCTGACAAAGGGCTAATATCCAGAATCTACAAAGAACTTAAACAAATGTACAAGAAAAAAATCAAACAACCCCATCAAAAAGTGGGCAACGGATAAGAACAGACACTTTTCAAAAGAATTTACCTTTTTGAAACTGACCTTTCTTTTCAATCTCCACTCACTACTTTTTGTGGTTTTCTTCTTAAACATTTACTCCTAAACTCCTTTTGCTCTGACTTACTTGTTTTCCAATTGATAAAACTCGCCTCAAGGTTTTCTGTCTCAGCACTCTCTCACTTCTCCACTCTCGCTGTTTCTTGCACAAGTTCCCCTTTTTTGAACAAAGTATTACCTCTCTTTGCCTGGGCACCTCAATCTCCAGTATTCTGTCCACAAGTCCTGTTTTCCCTCTTTTGTATTCTGCAGGTCTCTGTTCCATTGCACTTTGTATGCCATAATGTTATTAACTCTGAGTGGTTTATTTATGTTTTATTTTAAACTTTTTAGTTTACTTTGTAAACTTTCTAGTGGATTTTCTCACTGATTTTGTTCATACTAAAGTACAAACTTTTCTTTTTTTGCAGAAGGTTTTTGCCAGTTCATTCATGTGTACCTTTGTCAAGTATCTCTGCCACCATTCACTTTTATTTTGATTCATCTTATCCCCTGAGCATCCGCTATAGAAGCAAAAGAAGATTCCTTCACTTCTATCAGCTCTGAATTCTACCTCCAATGCCTATGAGTGTTTTGCTGTCCTTACGTATCCCTCTCCTTTCTCTGACTCAAGAACTTTCACTCAGCCTTCTTCTCTCTTGTTAGGGTAAGAATTGCACCATCCAATACCTGCTATTATGATATCCTGTATATTGTATTACATGAATCATGTAATATACTAATAGACCTGTGAGTATGACTCCCAGATTAAGAATATTTTGCATACATTTTTAAAAGTATGTTAGTTAAAATACCTGAAAACTCTGATTTATTTAGATGACTAGGCTCACAGGTATATGATCTGTGTCTGCCCACAGAACTGCCCAATCCCATCTTGAATTGATGACGGTGAAGGTGGTTCTTCAGTTTTTGACTACTACGTTTTCTCTGGACTTTGTGACTTTTTCCTCTGCTGAATTCTACTTTGCCTGAACTTTTCTTTTTCTTTTTCTTTTCTGATGGAGTTTCACTCTTGTTGCCCAGGCTGGAGTGCAATGGCGCGATCACGGTTCACTGCAACCTCTACTCCCCAGATTCAAGCGATTCTCTCACCTCAGCCTCCCCTGTAGCTGGGGTCAGAGCGCACGCCAACACACCCAGCTAATTTTTGTAGTTTTGGTAGAGACAGGGTTTCACCATGTTGGCCAGGCTGGTCTTGAACTCCTGACCTCAGGTGATCCAGCTGCCTCAGCTTCCCAAAGTGTTAGGATTACAGGTGTGAACCACCATGCCTGGCTGGATTTTCTATCATATGGCTTTTTTCTCTTGATTCTCTCCAATATGTCTTTGTCTTCTTGAGCTCTCCGATTCTCAGATGAGTGGTCTGAGCATTTTCAGGTGGGAGATCTGGACCTTGTACTTCCAGGAAGCCTCGTAGGTGTCTCACGACAAAGGCCAAGTGGCTGCAATGCCACTGGACCCACTATCTGGTGTCGGTTGCATCTTTAAAAGCAGATTGTCCTCCTTCTGTCTTCCTCCTCTTCCCCAGAGATTGGCCTTCCCTTTAGACTGTTGAGCAATGGGTGAACGCACCCCAGCGTCTGCTTCTGTTGTTTCTCACTAACCCGTGTTTTGGCACTTAGCTCAGATCTGGGCATCTTCAGTAATGAAAGCGAGAAAGAGACAAAGGGAGGAGACTGATTTATGTATGGGTAAACCCATAGGATGTATGGGTTTCCGGTATGCCCAGGACTCTTGACTTCTCTCTTCTATTCTTTCCAAACGTCTTGGAGCAAAAGCCCATAAATAGAGGCTGCATGATGTGATTTTCATGAGTGTGGATCCTGCTCTCTGAGTCTGTTTAGGGTAAACCAGAAGGCAGGGGTGAGGCAGGTCTTTGCAGAGTCTAAACATACCTCATGCCCTTCCCCAGACAAAACACACCTTGAATACTGATCTACCCAGGCACAGCGATTTTCAAGAAAAAGCAAAGTAAACAGAGCTTTCGATTTTCCAGGTTGCTTGGCACGGATATTCAAGAGTTGGCTATCACTACTTCCTACCTATTTAAACTAAGAGGAGTTTATTTGTTGTACTGCAATTTAAAAAGGAGTTGTTAGGCTGGGCGTGATGGCTCACACCTGTAATCCCAGCATTTTGTGAGGCTGAGACTGGAGGATTTGTTAAGGTCAGGAGTTTGAGACCAGCCTGGGCAACAGAGCAAGACCCCATCTCTACAGAAAAATTTTAAAAATAAGCCAGACATGGTGATTCATGCCTGCAGTCCCAGTTACATGGGAGGCTAAGGTGGGAGGATTGCTTAAGCCCCGTAGGTCAAGGCTGTAGTGAGCTATGATTGCACCACTACACTCCAACCTGAATGACATGGTGAGACTCTGTCTCAAAAAAAACAATAAAATAAGGTCTAGACGCCTCCCTCAAACTCCACATCCCAGTAAATTAAAAAGAATCAGAAAGAGTCATAACAGTAACGATTGCCAGTATGGGCTTTTCCAAAGCAGGTGTTGAAGAACAACGACCATCTTTCTCATTTTCAACCTGGGTGGAATGTAGACTGGTCAAGTTCACCTGGGTTTTTCCTTCCTCATCCCTGACTGTGTCGTTCACCTCTCACAATGTCAGATTTCTCTTTCTTCACGTTTTCGGGGTAAAGTCAAGCATGCTGGACTAGGACTGGGTGAAGTGTAGCCTAAATGTGGACCCATGGAGAGGTGGCTTAGCCTCTCTCTGCCTCACTTTGTGGGTCTGTGAAGAGAGGATAATGGTAACTGTCCTGTGCACCCCCGGGGTCTCATGAGAGTATCAAATTAGGCAGTGTTGGAGCCGGGCGTGGTGGCTCACACCTGTAATCCTAGCATTTTGGGAGGCCGAAGTGGGCAGATCACCTGAGGTCAGGAGTTTGAGACCAACCTGGCCAAACAGGTGAAACCCTGTCTCTACTAAAAATACAAAAACTTACCTGGGTGTGGTGGTGCGCGCCTGTAATCTCAGCTACTCGGGAGGCTGAGACAGGAGAATCACTTGAATCTGGGAGGTGGAGGTTGCAGTGAGCCACGATTGCGCCATTGCACTCCAGCCTGGGCGACAAGTAGGAAACTCAGACTCAAAAAACAAAAACAAATTAGGCAGTGTCCGTGTAAATGTATTGTAAGCTGTAAAGTGCTGTGCTCAACATATAAACACAGTAGATCCCTGTTCGTTTCAGTGAGCTGCCTCAATGGAGGAACTTGGAAAGAAAACTTCTGTGATTGTTCCACAGGTGTTGGAGATCAATGCTCTCGCTGCAAGAATGGAGGCACCTGGGATGGGGAGAAGTGCCTGTGTCTCACCCCCTATGGTGGGGAGTCATGTGAGGAGGTGGTCAACAACATTGACATAGGTGAGTGCAACCCCAGGCCCTCCCCCCTCTCCGTGCCCTGGGACCCAACCTCCATACAGGCACCAGTTCCTACCCCACCTTGATGTGAGGCCAGGAATAGGGCCTCTTCTGCACTGTGGTGTTTTTTTTGTTTTGTTTTGTTTTGTTTCCACCCAGAGCTAAGAACGCTAAGGTATTACAAGATGAATAAATAGGCCAGGAACGGTGGCTCTCCCCTGTAATCCCAGTGCTATGGGAGCCTGAGGCAGGATCACTTGAGGCCAGGAGTTTGAGACCAGCCTGGGCAACATAGTGAGATCTCATTTATTAAAAAAAAAAACAAAAACAAAAAACTTAGCTGGGTGTGGTGGCGCATACTTGTAGTCTTAGCTGTTTGGGAGGCTGAGGTGGGAAGATTGCTTGAGCCCAGGAGGTCAAGGCTGCACTGAACTATGATCTAACCACTTCACTCCAGCCTAGGCAACAGAACAAGACCCTGTCAAAAAAAAGAAAGAAGGAAGGAAAAAAGAAAGAAAGAAAAGAAAAAGAAAGAAAGGAAAGGAAAGGAAGGAAGGAAGGAAGGAAGGAAGGAAGGAAGGAAGGAGAAAGAAAGAAAGAAAGAGAAAGAGAAAAGAAAATGAATAAAAGAAAAGAAAAGAAAACAAGAAGGTGTATTTTGGATACAAATTTGGCACAAAATTTTACCATAAAATACAATGGAGGTCACTCCCTCCACCTAGGCTGGGGGGCAGAACTTCTGAGTAAGAAACTCAGAGATGCTTTGCTCAGTAAGTCTACCCACCTCAGCGACACCGGAGACTGTCTCTGCCCAAATGGAACTGACTGTGACAGTGACCAGTGTGAAGTTCACCGATGAGCTAAAAAACCACTCTTCCCAGGAATTCCGGGAGTTCAATAAGACATTCACAGAACAGGTAAGTCTGGGAGAGCAAGGCCCCATGGCCACTCAGTTCCCCCCAGAGCAGAGTTTGGAAGGCAGCAGGGGGCTGTTCCCTTGTTAGATGTGCAAGAGTTCCCTCAGGCCCCCACGTCCTCAGGGCTTGCCAGTGGAAGGGGGAAGAGATGAGGCCAGGTTTTACCTGAGGGCTGCAGGAGGCCCCTGAGGCAGGGCAGGTCTCTGGAAAGAAACCACTCCATTTGATGAGTGTGCTATGATGCTGTAGGACAGGAGCATCCCCTGGTCCTGTGCCCTCCTGATGTCCCACGGAGAGGCCCCATGGTCTCTCTCGGATGACACAGTGGCCCCTTGCCTTTCAGATGAACATTGTGTATTCCGGGATCCCTGAGTATGTTGGGGTGAACATCACAAACCTACGGTAAGTGTCTGGGCCCGTGGGAAGAGAGTCTGTGGTGTGGAAGCAGCAGTCATAATTATAAAGGCAATTAGAACTGTGCCTCCTGCATTGCCGTGCTCAGGCAGCTATTGCAGAATACCACCAATGGGGCAGCTTAAACAACAGAAATCTATTTCTCCCAGTTCTAGGGGCTGGAGGTCTAAGATGAAGGTGTGGGTGGGTGTGGTTTCTCTGGAGGCCTCTCTCCTTGGCTTGTGGACGGCCACCTTCTTGCTGTGTCTTTGCATGGTCTTTCCTCTGTGCACACCTCCCTGCTGTCTCTGCATATCCAAATTCCCCCTTTGTATAAGGACACCAGTCAGACTCGATGAGGGCCTACACTAATGGCCTCATTTTAACTTACTCACCTCTTTAAAGACCCTATCGCCAAATATGGTCACATTCTGAGGTTCTGGGGGTTAGGGCTTCAATATATAAATGTAGGTGGCACCAGGTGCAGTGGCTCACACCTGTAATCCCAGCACTTTGGGAGGCTGATGTAGAAGGATTATTTGAGGCCAGGAGTTCAAGACCAGCCTGAGGAACATAGCAAGACCTTGTCTCTACAAAAAATAGCAGGGCATAGTGGCAGGCACCTATAGACCTGGCTACTCAGGAGGCTGAGGCAGAAGGATCACTTGAGCCCAGGAGTCAGAGGTTAGAGTAAACCAGGATCGCACCATTGCACTCCAGCCTGGGCAGCAGAGTGAGACTCTGTCTCTAAAACAAAACAAAACAAAACAAAACAAAAAAACCAAAAACCTCAAAGATGGCCTCTTCTGTGGTTCCCATTCCTCTATCCATCTTCATCACTGAGGCTTCCCTAAGACTTCCCGGAGACTCACTTTGTAGAAAGTTATCTTAGGCACCCACTGCTGGGAGAACTCCTATAGCAGGGGGCTCAGTGCAGTGCCTAGGACAGAGTCATCACCCCAACTGTCCTCCTACCAGCTCTGCCTTCCCTTGGGATCAGAGAGGGTGAAGCCTGTCTGGGATGGATCTGAGAGGTAAGCACCCAATTCTGACCCCAGGACATCTTCCCTTCCCTCCTCAGTCTTGGCAGTGTGGTGGTGGAGCATGACGTCCTCCTAAGAACCAAGTACACACCAGAATACAAGACAGCTTTGGACAATGCCACCGAGGTAGTGAAACAAAAAATCACAAAAGTGACCACAGAGCAAATAATGACCAATGATAATTGCTCAGGTAAACTCTTGGGCTTCTAGGGAGGGAAGGGAGAGGGGATCAGAGCTGGGGCATGACCTTCTTAACAGAGAGGAGGGCTGGGAGTGAGGATGGTTAATGGGCAGGTACAAGAATCACTGTGGGGTCCTAGAGTACCTGGGGGTGCAGCCCAAAGAAGCCCCAGGATTGGGCCGAGACAGTCTTTAACCTTCATCATCCTCCAGCCCATTTTGTCCCTAGGGTAGGGGAAGGGACAAAGGCAAATGGAGACAGCAAGAGAACATGGAGATCCAGGAATTCGTCCCGGAACCTGCAAGGCCAGACATACAAACAGACCAGATCTTGCAGGGTGCCAGGACTAAGGGCTATAGGACAGGGGAGTCTGCTGGAAATGGGGACCCATGGGCCTCGTTACACGGGGGTTCATCTAAGTGTGTGGATCATGGCAGAAGAGGGAAGAAGGAGGCATCGGGAAGGCATGGTGGCTCACGCCTGTAATCCCAGCACTTTGGGAGGCTGAGGCGGGCAGATCACTTGAGGCCAGGAGTTTGAAACCAGCCTAGTCAACATGGTGAAACCCCATCTCTATTAAAAATACAAAATTAGCTGGGCATGGTGGCAGGCGCCTGTAGTTCTAGCTACTTGGGAGGCTGAGGCAGGAGAATCACTGAAACCTGGGAAGCAGAGGTTGCAGTGAGCTGAGATTGCACCACAGCACTCCAGCCTGGGTGACAGAGCAAGACTCCATCAGAAAGAAAGAAAGAAAGAAAGAAAGAAAAGAAAGAAAGGAAGAAAGGAAGAAAGGAAGAAAGGAAGAAAGGAAGAAAGAAAGAAAGAAAGAAAGAAAGAAAGAAAGAAAGAAAGAAAGAAAGAAAGAAAGAAAGAAAGAAAGAAAGAAAGAAAGAAAATAAGAGAAAAGGGAGGCATGGGACAAAAAGGCTCAGGACACTTGGAGGGTCATAGGATGCAAGGCTGATGCTGCTCCTCTGCCAAGGCCAGATTCCCACCTCCCCATCACAGCCCACCCCCTTCTCACACACACACACCCCTCAGCTCCCTGAGGATGCAGAACAAGCATGTATGTGTCATGAGGGGTTTTATGTGTCTCTTTCACAGCCTTGATGTGTTTCAACACCACTGGCACCCAAGTGCAAAACATTACAGTGACCCAGTACGACCCTGTAGGTAGGTGATAACACAAGGGGTTTGGGGGAAGGCTGGAGAGGTGTGGAGCCCAGGAGGAGCGGGACAGTGCCCCCCCAGCCCCCTGATCATGGCTGCTCCCCATCCCTGCACCCCTCCACCAGAGGAATGCCGGCAGAAGGCCAAGGAATATGGAGACTACTTCCTAGTGGAGTACCGGGACCAGAAACCATACTGCATCAGCCCCTGTGAGTCTGGCTTCAAAGCCTCCAAGAACTGTAACCATGGCAAGTGCCAGATGTCTGAAAATGGAGCCCGGTGCCTGTGAGTGCTCCCCCATTTCCTCCAGCCCAGCCCAGATGTCCTGGTCCTCCCCTCCCCTGCAGGGCTTCACCCCAGGCATTGCCTGGAGGCCAAGGTCATGGGACTAGTGTCTCCTGAATGTGTCCAGCTGCAGAGGAATTGGGTTGGGGATGGGGGTAAAACATGAGTAGTTGAGCTCCAAGGCTATGTCCAGAACAGCCTAGCCATGTCCTGTCTGTGCTAAGGAGGGCTGAGGACAGTAAGAACCTCCTGGGAAGGTTGTCTGACAGGGGGAACAGAGACACAGCCTTGCTCTCTCTCCAGAGAGAGAACAAGACCCTCTTCTGGTGAAATAGAAACAGAAGGTTACACACCCACATGAGGAGTGGGGAGAACCCCTCTAGCCCAGTCACAGAGGTAGGAAAGCAAAGAAAAACGTTGCCACTTGAAACAGAACCAAAGAGAGAGACCAGATGGAGCATCAGGTGCGGGAAGAAGCCACATGTGGGCAAAGACCTGAGTAGTCAGTTTTGGAAAGCTTCCTGGAAGAGCGGGTCACAAGCTGGAAAGGGGAAGAAAGGAACAGGGTTTAGAGAGGGCATCTCAAGGCAGCAGGGAGGAAGAGCTTCAGGGGTGTAACGGGAGCTCTGGATCAGGGCTGCAGCCTGGCTTTCTTGACAGAGAGGAGGGCTGGAAGTGAGGATGGTTAATGGGTGGATGCAAGATCACTGCGGGGTCCTGGAGTCCCTGGGGGTGCAGCCCAGGGAAGACCCACGGTTGGGCCAACTGTCCTAGGTCCTGGGTTGCAACTGGAGGCAAAACCTAAAAGCCTGGAGTGGGAACTGAGCTCATTTGAGGACCACCTCCAGGGATGCTGGTCTTCATGTCCGTTCATCCCCTCAAGGCGCCTTGCTTTATGCACCCTGGCAATCTCTTCTCACCTCCTCTTCATTCAACACCCACTGGGCAGGGCCCCAGTCTGAAGCTGGTGCTGACTCTGTTCTCTCTCCCCAACCTGCCGCTTCTCTCCCATCTCAGCTGCCTGACCACGGAAACTCACTGGTACAGTGGGGAGGACTGTAACCAGGGCACCCAGAAGAGTCTAGTGTACGGCCTCGTGGGGGCAGGGGTCGTGCTGGTGCTAATCATCCTGGTAGCTCTCCTGATGCTCGTTTTCCACTCCAAGAGAGAGGTGAAACGGTGAGCAAGCCCCTACCACCTCCTCTTTCAACTCCCTCCAGCTCCTCCTCTTCCTCTGATCCCTCTGCCTCTAATCACTTCATCCTCGAGGTGGACAGTGGGGCAAGCTAAAAATGGGGATACAATTTGTCCCTAGTCCTTGTTCCTGTTCCCCAATCCTAATGGGGTCTCTCTGGTGTTTCCATCAATAGGCAAAAGTACAGATTGTCTCAGTGGTACAAGTGGCAAGAAGAGAACGGTGGACCAACTCCTGGGACCTTCCAAAACATTGGCTTTGACATCTGCCAAGGTATCGGCCTTCCTCTCTGCACTCAGAATGACTCAAATTGTGGGAAACAGGCTGGGTGCGTGGGCTCGGTGCCTGTAAATCCCAGCACTTTGGAAGGCCAAGGCCAGGGAGGGAGGATTGCTTGAGGGCCAGGAGCTCGAGATCAGGCCGGGCAACCAACACAGAAAACTCTATCTTCTTTTTTGTTTTTTTTTTTTGGATGACGGAGTCTGGCTCTGTCGCCGGGGCTGGAGTGAGTGGCATGATCTCGGGCTCACTGCAAGCTCACCCATGTCTCCTGCCTTCAGCCTCCGAGTAGCTGGGACTACAGGCGCCGGCCACACGGCCCCAGCTATTTTGATCATTTAGTAGAGACAGGGTTTTCCACGTGTTAGGCCACGATGGTCTTCGATCTCCTGATCTCGTTGATCCGCCCATCTCTGGCCTCCCAAAGTGCTTGGGTTACAGGCGGTGAGGCAGCCCGTGGCCAGCCAAACTCTATCTCGCTTAAAAAAAAAAAAAAAAAAAAGAAGGGAGGGCGAGGGTCACAAAAAAACTTGGACCACTTGAGAGTCTAGTAGCTTGAGAACCAGCCTTGAACACATAGTGAAACCCTGATCTCTATGGAAAACACAAAAAATAGCTTGAGCGTGGTGGCAGGCCTGTAATCCCAGCTACTCGAGGCTGAGACAAGGGAGAATCACTTGACCCGGTGGAGGCAGAGATTGCAAGTAGCAGAGATTGTGCCATTGCACTCAGGCCTGGGCAACAAGCTATGAACCCTCCATCTCAAAAAAATAAAAAATAAAAAATTATTTTTAATTATCTGGGCGTAGGTGGCATTAGCACCTCTAGGTCCCAGCTACTCAGCTGAGGGGCCGAGGAGAAGTTGCTTTGAGGGGGCCTGGGAAGATGGAGGCTGCAGTGCAGGCCGTGATTGCACCACGCACTCCAGGGCCTGGGCAACAGAACAAGACAACTATCTTTAAAAAAAAAAAAAAAAGAAAGGAAACAAAAAGAAAGGTACTTAGGAGGGACCTGGGAAGGACCCTGGGGCTTAAAGTGTGAAGGGGGAAAATATTTCCCACTCCAAAATGTTTGGCTCTACAGCTAAAACCTTATTTCCATTACTGACTCCTGTGAGACCCTGGATGGGGCATAGTGAACTGAACCACTGGGGAGACACAGGTTCCTTGAGGGTGGTAGATTTCCCTAATGCACAGATCAGTGCTCGGGAGTGGGTGAGCTCATTAGCAGGGGAGTTGTTCCTCAGTAAAGAGACTAATGTTAGATTTTGCTAGGTTAAAGGCACATGTTAAAATTTCTAAAACTAGAGTCTTTAACTTCTAAAGAAGGAAATACGTGGAATGAGAAATTTCTCAAAATAGTCTTTAAATTCTAAAGAAGGGGAAGATTAGAATGAGGAAAAAGTCCAGTCAACCCACAAAGAGCAGGAAAGGGAGAAAAAGAAAAAGGAGGTGGGATGCAGTGGCTCATGCTTATAGTCCCAACGCTTTGGGAGGCCGAGGCTGGAGGATCGCTTGAGGCCAGGCAAGACCAGCCTGGGCAACATAACAAGATCGAAAAATTTAAAAAATTAGCCAGGCACAGTGGTGCATGCCTGTAATCCTAGCTATTCAGGAGGCTGAGTCAGGAGGATCACTTGAGCCCAGGAGGTCAAGGCTGCAGTGAGTTATGATTACACCACTGCACTCCAGCCTGGGCAACAGAGCAAGACCCTGTCTCTTAAAAAAAGAAGAAGAAGAAGAAGAAGGAGAAGAAGGAGAAGGAGGCCGGGCATGGTGGCTCATGCCTGTAATCCTAGCACTTTGGGAGGCTGAGGCTAGTGGGTCACCTGAGGTCAGGAGCCCAGCCTGGCCAACATGGAAAAACCCCGTCTCTACTAAAAATACAAAAATTAGCTGAGTGTGGTGGCATGTGCCTGTAATTCCAACTACCTAGGAGGCTGAGGCAGGAGAATTGCTGGAACCTGGGAGGTGCAGGCTGCAGTGAGCTGAAATCGCACCACTGCACTCCAGCCGGGGCAACAGAGCAAGATTCTGTCGAAGAAGAAGGAGGAAGAGGAAGAGGAGGAGGAGGAGGAGAAGGAGGAAGGGGAAGAAGAAGAGGAGATAGGACACATAGAAAATACAAAATAGTGGCCGGGCGCAGTGGCTCACGCCTGTAATCCCAGCACTTTGGGAGGCTGAGGCAGGTGGATCATGAGGTCAGGAGATTGAGACCATCCTGGCTAACACAGTGAAACCCTGTCTCTACTAAAGATACAGTGAAACCCTGTCTCTACTAAAGATAAGGAAAAAAATTAGCCAGGCGTGGTGGTGGGTGCCTGTAGTCCCAGCTACTCGGGAGGCTGAGGCAGGAGAATGGCATGAACCCAGGAGGCGGAGCTTGCAGTGAGCCGAGGTCGCGCCACTTAACTCCAGCCTGGGTGATAGAGCGAGACTCCATCTCAAAAAAAAAAAAGAAAAAAGAAAATCCAGAATAAAATGATAGGAAGTAATGCAAATAAATCACAAAGCATAATACATATAAGTAGATTAAACTCTAGTTTAAAAAGGATTTTTTAAAAAAGAAAACTAGGTATTCACTGTGGATGGGAGGTACACGTAAATTGGAAACACACAGGTTGGAAACAAAAGTATAGAAAAGACAAAACAGGGTAATACTAAACAAAGTATCTGTTGTTTTGTGTATAGCTTTACTCATTGCAGTCACATACATTTTAAAGCAAAAAGAATTACTAGGGATAAAAATGATCAATATTAGCAAATGGCTTACTCTGTTAGACACAAGTCTAATTTGTATGCTCTATTAATACAATCTCAAAACAGATAAAGCAAAAACTGACAAAGCTACAAAGGAAAATTAACAAATCCACCAGCACGGTGAGAAATTTTTAAAACACCCCTCTTAGTAATTGACAGAAGTCACTGAGGATTACAGAACTTTTGGACAAAATAATTAGCCTTAATACAATACAGAACACCACATTCAACAAATAGAGGGTATTCATTTATTACATGAGTCCACGAGAAAACTTCTAAGGATGGCCACACACAGGACGTGAAAAAAGCCTCAACAAACTTATAAAAAATTATTTAAATCAGACGATCTTATCTGACCATAATGCAAGTATGTTAGAAATCAATAACAAAAATATTTTTGGAAAATGAAAACAAAAATCCCATATCTTTGGAATTTTTTTTCAAGTTTCCAAATAATGTATGGATCAGATAAGAGATTATAGTGAAAGTGAGAAAATACTTAGTATTCAGACTCGCGGGATGCAGCTACAGCTGTACTCAGAAGATTCATAGCCTTAATATGTCTGTATTGGGAGCTGCTGAGTCAGGTAGTGTTGACAGTTTGTCACATTTTCAAGAGTTTTCAGTTTCCTAGGGGTAGGGACAAACTCATCCTCCATTGGATGGGATTAAAGGGAGAGATGAAAGTTTGTCCTTCTAACCTCCTGTTTCCATGGTGCTTTCCATCCCTCTAGAAGATGATGACTCCATCCACCTGGAATCCATCTATAGTAATTTCCAGCCCTCCTTGAGACACATAGACCCTGAAACAAAGGTAAGAAGGGCCTGGATGGGATGCTGGCCTCCCCCAACCTTGAGACTTTCTTCTCCTTTCCTGCATGGTAGGACCTACAGGAAAGCAAAACCATGTTTACAGTTTATTGGTCCAGGTGATTCTCCCAGGTCCATACTGCCAGGAAACAAGCCTAACTCAGGGGAAGAATAAAAGCTAAGTAGCAAGGTGGAATCACCTTTCGTTGACCCCTGAGGCTTCAGATTCTGAGGTTTCCTTCCCTACTGTAAGTACACCCTTGATGGCCAACTTACTTAGTTATTTTAATTTGTAAACACACATAAAAGTCAAAATAGTAGTGCAGTAAATACTTACATATTCCATGCAGCTCAGTAAGGCTTAACATGCCATATGTCTCTTTCTTTGTATTGATCTATTCACTGATTTTTGCTGAATAATTTCGAAGTCAGCTGCCAACATTATGACACTTGATCCCTAACCATTTCAGCCCACACTTCCCAATACCACGATTATGTCCAATACGTTGATCGTAACTTCACAATATCATCTGATATCCAATTTTTCCAATTAACCCAAGGACATCTTCTATTACTAGTTTTTTTTTTTTCCTCAGATGTAGATACAACAGATTTCACTCACTGACTTCTGTTATGTCTCTTTGGTCTTTTAATCTAGAATGGGCTCCTACATTTTAAAGTATATTGCTTTTCTTAAGAGTCTAGGATGGTTGTCTTGAAAAATGTCTCACACCCCTGGTTTGTTTCATGATGTCATCTAACTTGTCCCCCCTTAGTATCAGAGGTATTAGAGATATTCTGGGATTGGAAATACTGGAGGTTGGGTCTAAAGGCTTAACTGGAATCAGATTAAACATTTTTATTATATCACAGATAATGCTATTGCCTCACTTCAACAAGTATATAACATCAGATTGTCCCCCATGGTTAAGGCCAAGATTGGTTACTTGGGCAAAAGGTGACCACTCCTTTATCACTGCCTTAATATGATTTAAACTGGATGGATAGTTGAAGGTAGGAGAAATAACAAGTGTGAACATCTTCAGGTGCTATGCTCCCTTGACATAGCCCTTTGGGGCAAAGATGAAATCTCCAGCCAGAATACCTGTAAACCTACCTGGTGGAGAGGGGAAGGCACAATTGGTTTGTGCTAGAATCCAGGTAATGGGACAAGTTCTAAACTAACCACTTAGGCCAGGTGCAGTGCTCATGCCTGCAATCCTAGCACTTCGTGAGGCCAAGTCAGGAAGATCGTCTGAAGTCAGGAGTTTGGGACTCACTTTGTTGCCTGGGCAACAAAGTGAGACTCTGTCGCTGTAAAAGAAATAATAATAATAGCCAGGCACAGTGGCTCACGCCTGTAATCCCAGCACTTTGGGAGGTCGAGGTAGATGGATCACTTGAGCCCAGGAGTTTGAGACCACCCTGGGCAACATAGCGAAACCTCATCTCTACAAAAAATTTAAAAATTATTCAGGTGTGGTTGTGTGCACATGTAGTCCCAGCTACTTGGGAGGCTGAGGTGGGAGGATCGCTGGAGCCCAGAAGTTACAGGCCGCAGTGAGCCGTGATTGTGCCACTGCACTCCAGTCTAGATGGCAGATTAAGCCTGTCTCAAAAAAATTAAAAAATAAAAATAATTAAACCGAACACCTCCCATCCCAAGCCTCCTTATGCTTCCAAAATCCCAAATTCCTCATGAGCTGAGCCTTCACCTGGTTTTATCTCTCTTTTCAGATCCAAATTCAGAGGCCTCAGGTAAAGACATCATTTTAAGGCATGGAGTTGAGAAGTCTGGGAGTGAGGAGATTCCAGTCCGGCTAAGCTTGGTGGAGCATTTCCCCATTGAGAGCCTTCCATGGGAACTCAATGTTCCCATTGTAAGTACAGGAAACAAGCACTGTACTTACCAAGGAGAAAGAGGAGAGAGATGGCAGTGCTGGGAGAGTCTCAAATAGAAACCCGTGGAAGCTCCAATGGGCTTGCCTTGATATCAGGCTAGGCTTTCCTGCTCAGTTTTCAAAGAGGTTCCAGATTTGAGGGGTGCTCTGACTGCAACATCTGTCACCCCATTGATCGCCAGGATTGATTTGACTGATCTGGCTGGGTAGGCGGGTGTCCCCGTCCTCCCTCGCTGCCCCATGTATGTCCCTCCTAAAGCTGCATGCTCAGTTGAAGAGGACGAGAGGACGACCCTCTCTGATAGAGGAGGACCACGCTTCAGTCAAAGGCATACAAGTATCTGGACTTCTCTGCTAGAACTTCCAAACAAGGTCAAAGAGGTTCCTCCTCTCGCCTGCCCGGATCCAGTACCATGGACAGCGCCCTCAACGAGCTGTTTACAACCGTGACCCCTTGGACACGGGACTGCTGCATGCACTTTACATTTCACAAAATGCTCTCCTAAGAATTATTGAATGCCATCTTCATGAAAAACACTTGTGTTTAAATATAGAGCATTTACCTTTGGTATATAAGATTGTGGGCATTTTTTAAGTTCTTATTTTTATGAGTTCTGATTTTTTCCTTAGTAAATATTATAATATATATTTGTAGTAACTAAATATAATAAAGCAATTTTATTAAAATTTTCATGGTTCCCAGATCTTTCCCTCCTATTTCCCATAGCTCCTGTTTCTAACCTCCCAGACTCTCTCTCTCCTCCCTTCCTCTAGAACATAAAATCTGATGCATTTGGGGTTCAAGATAACAAGACAGAGATTTGCAGTGGGAAGAGGACCATTCCCTGAACTCCACTGACACCATTTGCTGGTGTCCAGGAGGCAAGGCAGACAGACAGACAGACAGACAGACACACACACACACACACACACACACACACACACAGAGAGAGAGAGAGAGAGAGACAGCCTCATTTCCTACCAAAGAAAACCAAATTTGCCAAGCTCTCCTTCTGAAAATGGGCTGATATTTCTTTCCATGCATCTAAAGAGACAGAGACCTGAGCTCTATTTTCAGCTTTCTCAAGAATTCCCTTAGGTTAAATCTGGGAAAAATCTATTTGGACTCAGTCTTGCCTTTTGCCGAATAAGCACTAGGTTTCTAAAGCCTCTTTCATCGCTGTCCTTAATATTCCTAGGACGCTTTTTAAAAATTATTATGATTCCAGCCATGCCGCTCAGGATTCACCATATTCTCGAAGGTCTCTCCCACCAGCCACCCGCTTCAAAGCCTAACCTGAGACAGAACCTGGACTCTGCTGCCCCCTCCTGGATACCCTGAGCACCTGCAGGCACCATACCTCTTCTCAGCGGTCCCCTCCTGGCCTCTCCTGTGAGAAAAATACTCCGTTACACTTGATTATTTTCATATTTGCCATCAAAATTCTGTTTCTTTTCTTTTCTTTTTTTGAGACAAGGTCTCACTCTTTCGCCAAGGCTAGAGCACAGTGGTGTGATCACTGCTCACTGCAGCCTTGAGCTCCTGGGCTCAAGAATTCCTCCAGGCTCAGCCTCCCAAGTAACTGGGACTACAGGTGTCAGCCACCACACCCGACTAATTTTTAATTTTTTTTTTTTTTTTTGTAGAGATGGGGTTTCGCTGCGTTGTCCAGGCTGGTCTTGAATTCCTAGGCTCAAACGATCCAATCACTTCTGTCTCCCAAAATGCTGAGATTCCAGGTGTGAGCCACTATGTCCAGCCTTTTTTATTTTTTTTTTAATTTTGAAAATTTGCAAATCTACAGAGAAGTTAAAACAACAAATTTTTAAAAAGTGAAACCTACCTGGGCATGGTGGCTCACACCTATAATCCCAGCATTTTGAGAGGCCAAGGCAGGCGGATCTCCTGAGGTCAGGAGTTCAAGACCAGCCTGGTCAACATGATAAAACCCTGACTCTATTAAAAACACAAAAATTAGCCAGGAATGGTGGTGCATGCCTGCAATTCCAGTTACTTAGGAGGCTGAGGCAGGAGAATGGCTTGAACCTGGGAGACGGAGGTTGCAGTGAGCCGAGATCACACCATTGCATTCCAGCCTGGATGACATGACCCTGCACCTTTTTTTTTAATTTAACTCAAGGTACATGTCAGTTTGTACAAAGTATATTCGTGTGGTGCTGAGCTAAGCCGAAATAACCATCACACCAGGGTGAGCATAGTATCCAATAGTAAAGTTTTTTTTGTTTGTTTCGTTTGTTTTTGAAGACTGAGACCCATGCCTAACACCCAGGCTGGAGTGGCAGTGGCACATCCGGCTCACCGCAACCCAAATCTCCCAGTTCAAGCGATCTCCTGCCCTCCGCCTCCCGAGTAGCTGGGTTCAGGCTTGTACCACCAGCCTGTTTAATTTTATATTTGTAGTAGAACCAGATGTTTTGCCATGTTACGAGCTGGTCCTCGAACAGCCTGACCCTCAAGTGATCTGCCTTCCTGCCTCCCCAAAAATGCTGGGAATTGACAGGCATAGCCAACGGCACCCAGTCCCAAATTAGGGTA